ATAACTACACCTTTAAAACATAAAAAGAAAAGGAGAAATACCAGAATTAAATACGTCTATTTACACAGAGACTGCATTATTACCAGCTCTGTAACCAATTGAAAGAGGGACAGAAGTCTAGCATGCTGGTCACATTCTTCTATAGGGATAAAAAAATTATTTGTTTTTGATTGGGTCTACACGTAACATTTGCATCTTGTTACCACTGATATTTTAGCTTTAAAAGTTTTCAGACATTCCTCCAGGGTTTATCTTAAGCACATTTTTATTAAGTTCCCTTTAAAAAAACGAGATCCAGTTAGTTTTGACGCGCATTGCCTTTGACAATGATAATCTTTGTCCTTTCCAGCTGCAGCAAATTTAAGATAATCTCTTTTTCAAGTGGACTTTATTAATCTTCCAAATGAAATACCATCCTGAGGTAAAACAATTATTTCCAGTTCAACCCTTAGTAACAGTTAAGCCTCCGCTGGAAAAGACAACTAACATCTGGCAGACTCAATATCTGCACCAATTAAGAACAATTTTGAAACCATAATATACAAATCTATTCAAGTGTTCAGACTAAAGCTCTCCACAGACAGATCAGCAGCCTTCTTGCAGCTAAAGGGAAAAAAAAAAAAAGCAGGGAGAAGAGGGAATGACTGCAGAAGGTTTTCACCAAGTCAGCAGACTCTGGCTGACCACACGCAGCAGCGATTTGACTGTCATAACACACAGCGATGCGCTTAGATCTTCAAGGGAGATCTCCGTGCAAGTCTGGGAGCTGAAAGGTGAGACACCTCGCCCGAAGGAGCGCCTCTCGCCAGCTCCGTGTCCTGTCCTCAGCATCGCAGCCTGACATAGTCCATAAGCACGCATTCTGACACCCTGCTTTACCAGAAGACAGATTGTCAGCACTTCAGCCTCAATTGGCAACATAACTTGAATAACTCGGAGGGGAAGCACATTTGTTTTGTAATATCTTACCTACAGAAACACCGAGCATCATCTTTCATTCGAGATGCTGAGGCCCCATTCAGCTCAGCAGCCTGAAGGACCCCAAAGCACGCACGTACCAGGGACAGGCAGTTACGTAATGACAGGCTGTGCTGGTTCCACGTCCCCGGCACTATTCACAAAGCAGATTTTTCTTCTAAAGAACCTACACAGATCACAGCAACCCAAGCTGCCTCGTAGGACAGCAGCACAGTCACATGCCTGCAATTAAATCTGTTTATCCCCCTCGGAGAGGCTGGTTACCCACGGTCAGAGGGATGGGCAGATCCAAGATTCAAACACTGGCCATTTAAAAACCCACAAAACTGTTTAACCTCACCTCAAAGGAGGCGATTTGTTTTTTCTGTCTAGAAAAAAAGACAATTCACCTCTGTGTTTCAACTTACAAAATCTCAACTTACCTCCATTTTCAGATAACTGCCCCGAAAGTATGTTTTATGGAGTTTGACTGCAAAGAAAGTGGGCAATGTCACCTTTTCTTGTTAAAAGGGTAACACCGCATAAAAAGATACAAAGGATCTGGAATCAGATCTAAGGCCAAAAGTTCTTCTAAATGTTAGCTCCGTTTGGAAAAAAAAAACCTCAAACATAAAGAAAATTTTAAGTTCATTTTTCCTATAAATCTCCTCCAACTGCTAACTCCCACAGCTGAAGTCATAATGCATAGGGTACAATTATGATCATTACTAAGAAAATATTGTAAGATTAAGACAACATGTTAAGCAGAAAAATATTCAAATTTATATACCATTTGTGTAAAATAAAATCAGCTGGGGAAGGAAAAAAAAGCAATTTTGGTCTGAAATATCTGCTGGGCTCCTTAGGGGGAACATTTCCTCATTTGTACTTCAGATACAAACAAAAACGTGGGTAAAATATGATCTAGCTGCTCTACTGACTATGCACTCTAATATTTTCTAGACCTCAGAACTCCAGTTTCTCGTGTTGGGACGTCCAAGAAAAATTATTTTGGGGAACAGAACAAAGGAACTGAACATTCCTGAGAAGCCGCCATTGGTAATCCTCAAATTTGCACAGACAAAATTTCACTGGAAAGGGCATCTTAGATGATCTTTCAGTATTATTTTTAAGGGTCGCAGTAAAGCTACCTTTAAAAGAAAGGAAACAAAAGGGATTATTTCACCTCTGAATCCCACTGTTTCATTTTTTCAATTCACAGAGTATGACATCAATGAGTTTGGGTCTTCAACAACAGACACATCACATGTGAGCTATGGCTTTGATCTGAAGCGTTCACTTGAGCAGTATTCACTGACTGGGCAATGTCATCACCTGTCTGGCGTTTCCCGGGTAGGCAAATATTTCAAACAAGAAACATTTGCAAGCAGTGCCCTTCCTGGAAAGGAAAAAAAGGCTCCATTGTTTTAGGAAATAAATGTAACGTATCACTATCTGCTTCGGCATCCTTGCGTATCGAGTCGTGGCTTATTGGCCAGGTTACAAGGCCCGAAAGTGTCCTGCTGGTTCTCCAGTTCACCAAATGGTTATTTTCTTGCTGTGAAATAACAACAGAGCATAAAGCCACGCAAACACACCTAGCAAATGTGGTGTTTCCAACACAAAGCTACCCGCACTGGAGCAGTGCCATTCCAATGGCCCACCCGCCTGCCAGGCAATGGGGCTGCCCATGGTTTTGTTTATAAACACACACACGTCTTTGCAAGATCCCAAGTCTGCGTTCGAAACTTGTGCACACTTAACTTTCCGCAGGCCCCAACAGTGCCGTAAGGAGATGGGAACAAGGCTTATTTTCCACTTGGAGTTCATTTCCCTAAATAAAACTTGATCATCAAAGGGTTCACAGCAAGATAAGCTAAACCCAAAGTGCGTATTTATATACATATACATAGACACAAACATGCCAGGACAGAGAATCCTTTCCCTGCAAAAACAAACAACAAAATATTGGTACCAATCTTTACAGGATTGCTGACAAACACTGCAAAACCCCATTAGCTCATGGTAATGAAATCAAATTGACTAATCTACTCTGACTGAGAGAATTAAATCTAAACCAGCACAGTACTACTCCGTAAGCATGCAAAAGGGTGCTCAAGGCCACCAGTGAAAAAGCCAATCTACCCCAAAAGAGTCACTTAAGAATGGCTTAAGGTGTGATGTCCATCTGATGAGTGAAGGTCACAGGAGAGTGGAATAATCATTTCAGTTACACAGGAATGAACATACCATAAGACACATTGCAGATATAGCACTAGTATGCTGATATGTATTAATCAAATTTTATTTTCAAGCATCAGGAGAAGAACCTGTTTCATGAGCAGAAAGGGTGGTAAGAGTAAGATCTGTCATAGCCTACAAAGAGGCCTCCTTCATTCCATTGAATTCATTTGGTTCATGCAGTCCCCACAAGTGTGCAAGCATTCACACCTGAATACAGGCTCTGGGGTGAAAATTTTCTGCACACAGCAAGTGGAAGCAAAACAAACAGAATCAACCCCATATCAGTAGAAAGACTGAACTTAAATGGCCCACATGTCTCCTTTCCCCTAAGAGAGAAAAAAGTAACTCAAGTATCCATTAAAAAGAAGTCTGCCCAGCTTTTGGCACCACAACCCCACACCCAACACGTATCTTTCTTAACCAAACCATCATCAAGCACAACTTCCTCTGAAGCACCACTACTTCCATCTCCTAGGTACCAACCATAACAAAAACAATCCCGTGCCACGATGACTTCTACTATCCTAGACTGAAAAAAGAAGCCAATTTCTTTTTCCATCCAGCTTCAGTAGGTGCTCCAGCCACAAAGTACAGAGTAATCAAGGCACACAAGCTTTAAGACTATGCACTGAAATGAGACAGTACTTTAGTTAACGAACAGGCCAGAAATTGCTACTTGAACAGATACATTTGCCTATAAAACCTCTCTAAACCAAGCTAATTCACAAGAGGTCTTTTATAAAAGCTGATGACCAGAGGTATGCAAAGAGCTCACTGCAGTCCTGATTCCCTGGACAGAAGAAATTCAGCTACGCTTCACAGGCCACAGAGCCGGGAAACGCCGGCTGCCTCAAAAAAACCCAAGAAAGGACTGAATTTGTTCCGCACAAAATAAAAAAATACAAGGCTGGGAAAAGGAAAAAACACATTTTAAGCCTAAAGATGACCAAACTCCAAAACGGGAGTGCCCACACCAGCCCCAGAGGACAGGCAGCTCCTCAGACAATGCAGGAATCACCCTGCAGAATCCCAACTACCTTTTTTTTTTCCTCCCCTGGCCTCCATCTCTGCCACAGCTACACTGAGCAGGCAAATACAGCAAACCAGAAGGAACGCTGTCCATCACGGCAGGGAAAACACCAGTGAAAAACCCACGGCTTCCCAACAGGCTGGGAGAAGCCTTCAGATTACCAGGGTTTACAAAGGCTGCCGTGAGGGCTTTTGTTTTGACTAATTCAGAGGAACATCTTGGAGTGCAAACCTTCCCCTGCAGTATTTGCAACCCAAATATTGCAGCACTGAGCTAATTTCAGAGCTGGCACACAAAATCGACTACTGGAGTGATCAGATCAGAAAATGAAGGCAAGCTAAATTTAGGAGTAACTATGCAATGCAGTATTAATAACAGATTAATTCCATTCTCCAAAAAGGAGTTTTTTTACCTTTTTTTTTTTTTCTAAAAGTCAAGCTGACAATACTCCTTTCAAGCCTAAGGCCTCCCAGGGAAGGACTCTATAATTTTCTCGATGTGAAGTCGAGATGCAAACCCCACCACCCCCCTCCCGGAGGCAGAGTCTTCCCCAAACCCATGGGAGCATCCTGCGAGCATCCTCCCCAGGGAGGGAGCCCAGGGGTGGGGGGAGGCATGTTCCCACGTCCTCAAGGGCCTCCCCACACACCCCAAATCCTTCCTTCCGCCCCAGGGAGGGACTCGCCCGTTTCCCCGCACTGCAGGAGCCAGCGGCCCGCATCCCCCCCGCCCTCTCCCGCAGGCTCATGGTCCCCCCCCAGCCGCTCACTTTCTCTTGTACTCATCCCGCTCCCGCTTGACTTTGGCCAGCACGTTGTAAAGGGCGCGGATCTC